TACTATCTACAATATTTATTAATTGGTGAAAATAGCGAAATGAAGCCTGGAGCTACAAAAGGTACGTCCGGCGACGATTTTTTGGCGGCAGTCCAGATATAACGATCACCGGTTATAACGATCATATTTTTAGGTTTTCTCGATATCGTTATAAGTGGACTGCACTGTATGTCACCTGCTCCTCACTGCATCAGCACATCATGATGCGACAATTCGCACATTCTCTCTGGTGCAATGAGGAATTTATTAATGGTCAGAATGATGAAGCTCGCGACGTGTTTTAGCAGGAAAAAACTTATCTTTGAAACTTTTGAACTTAGTTTTCGAAGTAAGTGTTGCTGGCAAGAACTCCGCCAGCAATGCGGGGGCGTGAATTGCTGGAGCAACCGGCAATTGGAAGTTCGCATACATTGCCAATTCCACCAAACTTTCCCCGTTCCCTCTGTTAATTTCTTCAATATCCCTGAAAGAATGAGTAAATCATGACCTGCTGATGTTGCGAGAAACATGCGATATGCTGCCCGCATGTCATATTTGTGTGGCAGTGAAGCATGTCTCGTTTTCCACAGGCGCACGTTTTGGTTGATCACTCGACAGTTTTTTTTTTTGTTTTTTTTTTTGCGCTGGAAGTAGCGAGGCTGTGGTTCTTCAGCTGCCACTCATTAGTATCGCTACATTGCAATGCCTTGTGGCTATTAAGGGCCGTCGTTCCCACGGATTGAGGGCGTAATCATGCTCTGGAACTGGCACGCGACACTCGGAGTTTTCGAATAAACCGGATTGGTGTCGGCCGCCGCCAACAAAGTTGCATATCAAAATACGGGAGCCTGAAAACAGAGTTCGAATTATTGAGGTTTTACTGCATACAAGTTGACTTGCACTCAACCTTTATTATTTGAATTCTGATTATTTGAAGTCTGATTGGTTACTATATTTACTCACGTAATAGACGCAACACCAACTTCAGTTGTCGAACTTTAGATTTTTTTCCACGCGTAATAAATGCACCCCTTATATTCATCTGCGGCAGTCCCACTAACCAACACTTGGCGCCTTCTTGCCTATTGAACATCTTCTATTTTTCATTTTTATGTCGACCCCCCCCTCCTTCGCCCGCTGCCGCACACTGTATTGTTATTCTTTCTATCTGTGGGCGGCAGGTCCCCTGTCTTTTTAAATTATCTATGCGCCACCGCGGGGTTCATGAACTGTGCGAGTGTAGAGATATTGCAGCTTACAAGCACCCAGCAGCGAAGTTCACGAAACTGCCTGTGTCAACCAACGGTGAAGGTCGCTTCCTGCAAATGCGAAACTTTGAGGCCCAACCACATGCACGCAATTTTCAAGCGACGACGACAGCATTTGCTGTCGCCATATCTATTGCAAAGGTCAATTCGTCACCATCACGTCGCAAGCTTCTGGAAAGCCAGAAAAAAAAAAAAGCACTTGTCACCCAGAAAAAATTGTGACTACCTACTTCTGCAACATAGTAGCACCTCCGATTCTTGCTTCATTTGCAATTTTCTCTTCGTGCTTGTTATCCAGGCATATTTCAAGGAACGTATAGGGTACCTTTTCTAAAGTAACTTTTCATGTGAACAGCAAGGCGGCAGCCGCATTTTGCCATTCATCTTGTTATCGACGGTTTGTTTTGATGCTTCGGTGTCATGCGAGGTGTCTTGGCAAAGTGTGTTATAGCACACGCTTCAAGGCTCTCCTCGAGATCACAGAAGATATTGCTGTTCCGGTTAAACGATGATGAGAAAAGATAGCCGCGAAGCGCTTTTCAGACATGCACATGCAGTGCGGGCACAGCTTACAGACAATATAGCGCGCTCAACCACCGAAGATGAGTGCAGTGCCACAAAGAAGCTGTTTCCAAATAGTGTACACATATGTCAATTGCTAAAGGCTAAGCTAGCTAACTTTTTTTCGCATTACCACATTTTTTGCTCATACCTAAAAAGTTTTCATAAAATTTGCCCTGCGTAATAAACGCATCCCCAACTTTGTTCCGATTTTTCGAGAAAAAAAAGTGCATTCGTTAAGCCAGTAAATGTAATTACTGTTCATAGATTGAGGGTTACTGACCAAGCCTAAAACCCTGCGTGCAATCCTCATGCAGAATAAAATGAATAGCTGGCCGAGGAACAGTTCCTTGATTGATATGTAGGGTTTAACGTCCCAAAACCACCATAAAATTATGAGACATGCCGTGGTGGAGGGCTCCAGAAATTTAGACCACCTGGTGTTTTTCAACGTGCACCCAAATCTGAGCACATGGGCAAACAGCATTTTTGCCTCCATCAAAAATGCAGCTGCTGCAGCCTAGATTCGATCCCGCAACTTGCAGGGCAGCAGCCAAGTACCTCAGAAATCAGACCACCGCAGCGGGGCGAGGCACGGCTGCTGGTGTGAGATTCGATTTCACTCGACTCTGCAATATAACTTTTTGTATTATACAGTTGCACCCCTTTATAAGGGACATTCACCAGGAAGCAATCTATATCCTATCTTCTATATTCCTATCCCATCTTGAGGTGCCTCTTATGAGGTGCCTCTTAAAATCAGGGTACCACATATGGGTTTTCTGTTTTCCTGTGTTTGCTTATTTTTTGGCTGGTTACATTTCCTGAACTCTGGTCCAGATCGCAGTATACGAGCAATGTGATATCTGTGTCATCGTGAAAAACTATTTGGGCATCTACCACTGCATACCTCAGGCCGCCACGGGAGTTACACCCACCGTGCTGCGACATGGACGACTGCCACGTACTCATTTAAGTGTTGTTGGATAACAGAATTCTTCATTTCACGAAAATCCAGCCCATGCGATGAAACGGCAGTGTCAGCGTTTCAAACAAGAAAAAAAGCTTCTTTCAAATTTTACTTCCATCGTGGAGCCCGAACCAGACACTTTGCCATCGGCGACTATGTCTACGTAGGAAAGTCGTCTGTTCATAAAAAAAATATCCTCCAACTTATCAGTACTGAAGAAAATCATTGACCAACGAGGGCCAGCTTCATTTCATTTGGAAGAAGGCCGACGGCGGCAACTTTTCATACTGCAAGGTGCTACAGACATCTCAACTTAGACCAAAGCGACGGTCTCGCCAAGTTCAGGATATTATTTTAGAGCCTCTGCACCACACACACGGCAAGAGAAAAACATTTCTAGATAGTATGTTTTATGAAGAGTTTATCAAAAGTAACTTGTGCATTCCATCTATGGTCGTAGTTCGTAGAAAAACTCTCAAAAACACTATAATGTAGTCACTTTTGTCTATACTCTAAAGAGTGAAAATTTTCAAGCTATCATGAGCAACAGTTTCATAATAAAAGCACATTGCTTTAAAAATGCAACAAAGCAAATATTGAAAGAATACGTGAAACGACTAATTTAAAGATAATTTGTTTCATACCTCGTTTTCCACCAATTTCATCAATTTCAAATTATGGTCAAAGGTGCAAAAAATTTCTGCCGCTTAAAATATCTCAGAGAAAATACTTTAAAACCAATGTCTATATGTGTGTAACTTTCTCTAACTATGCGACTAAAATTGATTTTTGGCGAGCGTCCTGGTCGAGACAGTTGACGTGGAATGACCCTTATAATAAATACAGCCTAGCCAATTGTCCTACTGAGTTACTGAAATAAATCTGGTTTATTAACACTACAAAGTAGGGCAAAATGAGTAAGACGTTTTGTTTGAATTAATTCATGTTGACATAACCATCTACATGTCAAAACTAATCTCTTTCAGTCGCTTTAGCTTAACACGTTACAAGCATTCATAAACACTTAATGAACACACTTACAATTCAAATTGCTTTAAATATTCTTATTCTCACATTCCATAATAGAATCAAATCAACAGAGTGCTTCAGTTACTAACGCCTCATCTTTGAATGTGTTCTTAGATACGGCAGAAGCAAATGTCAATGCTGAACAGTTTCATAAACTTTATTGCTGCTTTTTTTGTTTTTTTGTTTCGGTTTTTTTTCGTCTCCTTGTAACTTGTACATATGTAAATCCTTGCTGCGATGGTCTTCTTGCGAGATCAGCAGTATTGCTAAATAAATTAATTAATTAATGAAATTCCAAAAGTGCCAGCTGCTTCCTTTTCTTTTACAGCAGTGCCATGACGAGATTTTCACACATGCATAGCTATGTCATTCTGAAGAGCACTCTGAAACAGTCTTCTATGACCAAACCAAATACTAGTTGCACTAACACGCCAACAATAGCAGCTATCCGCTGTCAAGAGGTACCCAACAATGCCGAGATGCAGGCGTGGTATTGTGGGGTGGTGAATTATGCCTTAGTCTATGCTATTCTTATCTTCTACTAGTGGTGGCTGGCTGATTTTGTTGATAACGTCGGCAAACCGCCGCTCTGACCAGTGATCACATTGGCCAAGCGACGAAAGAATTGCAGTGACAGTGGAAAAGACATCGTTTCACGATTGCACTCAGCCGCAGCGTGGACAACTGAGCCAACTTAGATTCAGCTTCAGATCGTCTACGGCAAAAAAGAAAGCCAGTGGAAAAAGCAGGGTAGTCTCATTGCTATCCCTATCAAGCTATTGTGGCCCCATGCTGAGTAAAAAGCGGCGGTCTCTGGTGGTTCCGACACGTGATATAGACTTTGCAGAGGTATTTCTATGCTATAAAAATCCATTGAAATAATCCATTGAAATGTTCAAGAGTGTGTTCACTCCATGGCATTAAATATTTCAACCTTTAATAGCATCATAAAATTTCGTTGAAGCAGAACGGCTGAAAAAGAAGTGTTCGTTGTGGCGAAAAAATTTATGCATTGACTTCTATAGACTTCTGATGGAGAACAGAGATCACTATGATGAGGTTTGACTGTAGAAGTACTATTTGCATTTGAAAACATTTTATTATATGCACTTTTCTTGCAATACATTCCAAGGTTCAAAGTTTGATGTCCACACTGCCCTACCAAAAAGCCCATAAGAAAAAGCAGCTCTGACCTGCGTGAACTCGGGCTGCCTGTCAGGGCGTGCTCCCTCATCCCGGTAACAGCGAGCCACCTGAAAGTACCGGTCCAGGCTGCCCACCATCAGCAGCTGCTTGAACTGCAGTGGCGACAAGGGTCAGCACATTCTCAGAGCTACATGGAGTGAAAAGTGCTCAATCACAACACAGTTTCTACACTTAGACCTAGTTAAAAGCATGAAAATTATATGAATGATTTTTGCTCTTCTATTTACCAAATAAATTGTGTGTGTATATATATATATATATATATATATATATATATATATATATATATATATACATATATACATATACATCTGAAAGGAACAACACCTGTGCCACGGAACAATTAAGGCTTTACAATTAGGCTTGGCACGTATTTCCAGCAAATGGTTCACAGTCAGCGTGCTGACCTCATGAAACATGCTAATCCGAATATAACTCATGCAGCACGCTCGGTCACATTGTTTTAAGTCTTTTAGTGATCGATCTATAGAAGGACAAAGCATAAATGAGAACAGTCAAACCAAAGCGGAACTTTTTTGAAAATGTCTGCACACAAAAAGCAAACATGAAAGTGGCTTGCTAGGCCTAATCTACGTGCTTACCACTATCAAGAACTACTTAGATACTACTTACTATCAAGATCAACTACTACTATCAAGAACTAATTACTATGCGCTTCGAATTCGCTTCGAACCTAAAATTCACTATTCGCACAAGCCTATACTTCAGGCATAATTCCTTATCGTCTTCAGCCACTGCATGAACAATCGGCACAAAATTCCTTGCAAATGTTTAGCGAATACAATGCTTCTCAGAAGAATGATGAAAAATAGCATAGCGAATGCTGGTCTACAACCAAGAAATTATTATTATTATTATAGCCACAGTGGGTAACAGCAAGTGTGCCTTCAGCAGTTACCCAATAAGTGTTTAGAAAAGGCTATGAAAAGCCGCTCTTCTACCTTTCGCAGTGACTGTGCTGCATCTTCCTCGCAGGCCTGGCTTTTTTTTTTTTTTTAAAGATGCCAGTTTTCCTACCCAGTGCACTGACCTAGTGATTGCAAACTGTGCCAGAGAAGTGCGGCAAATACGACCCCAGTCCTACTTGTTACAAGTTCATAGACAAAAAAAAAAAAAAAAAACACTAAGAGAAAAACAACAATGAGGCAACACACATGATAACAACACAGTGCAAAGTTATATGCCCTTGGGCTTATTGCATGCACCAGTATACCTGCTGTGGGCTTTGAACGAGCGCGTAGAACTGTCCTGGGAATCTAGTGGGCACGACGTACTCCTGAGCACCCTGCACAGACACCGACAGTTGCAGGCCACCTACACTGTGCGATACCATAAAAACCAATAAATTTTTTGGAGCGAAAAGACACTCACAAGAACAAGAGAGACAGAACGGGCGCTCGTCCCATCTCTCATTCTTGTGAGCATCTTGCTTTTGCTTTCCAAGTTTCCCATTAGCTATGCAACATCATGCCTAGTTTCAAGTTTTGTTACACCTCGCTTCACATCATAAAGATACTATCAAGCACACATCACGTCTTTAAGCCACAGAAACAGGCTGTTTAAGAATGAGATACACAAAGCTAGTGTTAGTTGCGTGCATATGCTTTCATTTTCACTTAACGGGGGTATGCCAGAATATAGTGTACGACGCATATGCAGTGGTGAAAAACGTTCATACAAAGCTTTGCGTCAGCATTTTGTTGTGTCTGCGAAACCTGGGATCATGTAGCCACACCAGTAAAGTTTCTGGTACCCGTCACTAGATAGAGCGAACCCTCTGCCATACCGGTCATGCGACTTGTGTTTCACTTACCAATCATCCTTTTTCCCCCTGCATAAAGCCTGCTGCAATAAACACAGAAGATCAGCCGCCCATCAGTCTAACCGCAGCTCAGTCTCCGGGTCGTCTTTCTAGGCACCCTCCCATTGCTCAGCCTCTCCGCTGGCCTGCCGAGGGATTACGCTGCACTCCTGCCCCGACACAACACATGGCGATAACAATAAACCGCTACCCTCGGCAGAAGACGCCAGGAAGAGCACGACATGAGTGAAAATTCACGCTACGGGTCCCACTTTCTGCTGCTATGTCAGTGACTTTCCTGCATGCTAACATGGCATCAGCCTGACTTTCTTTGTTCTCGTTCCAGCTGCCTGTGCAACATAAACCTTCTTGCTCGAGGCTATTGCATACCTCCCGCACACACAGCAGCCCCCTTTGCGAATCTCCCTTCATTCCTCGAAGTGCCAGGCATGCCTCCATTCCATGGCATTTATGAAGACAAGTTTTCCAAGTACAGCTGAATGTGGTCGACGGAAGCAGCTGGGAGGTCGAAAGGTACGCAGTAGCGCTCCTCAGTGTCCACTCGGCATTGAGAGACAGCACAAATATTTTGCAGAGCAAAAACAGCTCAAAGCACAAAGTGTCCAAAATGCTCTGCACATGGCCAGCACGTCAGCAGCATTGGGGTCGGGCACTATATTGACAGACATGGCGGTGGCGATGGAGTGCAACAGGTTGCTCCAATTCCTAGACAAACTTTTCACCGACGCAACTCGTGAAAAGTTTGAAACAACTGCCTGGTTTTGCAAAACAACTCGTGAAACAACTGCCTGGCAAAACCTTCCCTGATTGATTGATTGATTTGTGGCGTTTAACGTCCCAAAACCACTATTTGATTATGAGAGACGCCGTAGTGGAGGGCTCCGGAAATTTTGACCACCTGGGGTTCTTTAACGTGCACCCAAATCTGAGTACACGGGCCTACAACATTTCCGCCTCCATCGGAAATGCAGCCACCACAGCCGGGATTCGATCCCGCGACCTGCGGGTCAGCAGCCGAGTACTTTAGCCACTAGACCACCGTGGCGGGGCGAAGCAAAACCTTCCCTGAAGTTGTCACAGTGCTCAACAAGAAAACCCTCTCGTGTAAGTTTGTACCTTAGCCACTAGACCACCGTGGCGGGGCGAAGCAAAACCTTCCCTGAACTTGTCACAGTGCTCAACAAGAAAACCCTCTCGTGTAAGTTTGGACCCACTTACGACAGAATACCGGGCCAAATAATTCATGAGATCGCCAATGAACACATCTGGACCAAGTTGCTGTCCTACAGGAAAGACCTCACGCTGTGAAAAACGGAAGTTGGTGAAAACTAGGAGGTGCTTCAAAAGTCACAGTTTTGCCGCAAAGGCGAAGCAATAAACGCGATAGCAACAAATCGGAAGGTGACACGCAGAATGGCAAGCAGATCGAAACCTGCCCCTCATTTCTCACGCACAAAGGACACAAAGCATACTCACAGGTACAGATTAACGCGAATAAGCGGCTAAATTGTTAATTCGCTGTGTCTGAAAAGCGCGCCCTTTTCGCAAATGGAGGCTGTACAACGATTGCAGTGATCTTCATGCTCCCTGTAACTACAACAGAATCATTCCGATGAAACTCAAAGGCTAACCAAGACATACGATTCTCCCCACTGCAAAATAAAGGGGCCCAATTGAGCGTACACCCGCTTATTCTCTACCCGGGCCAAAGTATGTGTGAGAGATGAGAGCTGAAATGCGCTCAATGCGCCAAATTGCTGATAATGCTGAAAACACAATAGTCCCAGTCCCCCCCCTCCTGATATGCCGTTTGAATGTTGAAGGAGGTACCTCTCGATGGCTCAGTAATTAACGTCTCGCATTCACGACGTGGAGGTCCCACGTTCGATTTCGCACGCCAGAGTCTTTTTTCTGAAATTTTTCCTTTCTTGCGTTTTCATATATATATATATATATATATATATATATATATATATATATATATATATATATTGATACATATACATATAGGGTGCATGACATCGACGCTGACGTCCACGTTGAAGCTGGCGGCAAAATCCAGTCGAGAGTGTCCATATAACTGCTATCACAATAAAAATCGTATGTAGCAATATAAGAAAATGAGCGGCTACTTGGCTCTCACTCCGGTTACACCTGATGTCTTGTAAGCACACCAGGTAATTTTCCGGTAACAGCAACTCGGTGGGGCTAGGCCTCCGCCATGCTGGACATGCAACTTGCGTCTCACCTACCTATCATTCTCCTCACCCCTTCATAAAACCACCCACAATAAATGCGGGTGAGCAGTCTCCCATCAGTCTTGCGGAATCTCAATCTCCATATTGTTTCCCTGTTGTGCATAGGTAGCGCTAGCAAAGTGTACAGGGAAGGGGCCCCACCGCCAGAATTTTCGACTGCCCCCACCGTGAGCAAACATAAAATCTAGCGCCACCCCTCGTGCCGCAGGGTTACACTGCACTTCTGCCCGACACAACATACCTGTCGCCAGTGCGCACGTGTCATACGCTATCATTTTGCATATTCCCATCGAGTCAGCATCTGTCGCCTGTGCGCATGTGTTGTACGCTATCTTCTTGCATATCCCCGTTAAGCAAGCGTTCCTCACCACTGAGCATGCGTCGTATGCAATCCTCTAATCGGGCCCAGTTAGACGACGAAAATAGCGACTGACCGCAATGAACGCCTTCTTAGTTAACCATGTTGTGAAACTTTTTTCATGATCGTGCCAGAGTGCCAGCCGTGCGAAACTACTCAGGCGGAGGTGTTCGCCTTCCATAATCACAGCCGTACCCTACATAATAGTTCAGTTGGCAGAGTGAAGGGCGAGCCCTGCTGGGCGAACGCCAGTTATACCTCGCGATAACTTTCTGTGGTAGCACAGCCAAAGCTACGTGGGCGGAGCTTCTGTAGATGTGTTGCTTTTTCAATTCAATTCTTTATTCACCATTAGTACAGAAGGAGGTCCCAGAGTTACAAAACTGCCAGAGGGACCTCCTATGAGTCATTTGTCAATATCATATGATATTGATATTGACAATATCATTTGTCAATATCAGTCATATGTCAAAGGCAAAAAGCAGTTACAAAGTAAAAAAAAGATGCAAGAAAATAATAAGGAGGGCATATAGAAAAAAAAGAACAATAGAAAAAACCAACAAAAGGTAAATCTGTACAAGAAACATAGATTACAAGAAAATAGTACAAAACTAATTATAGATGATAAAAATTGCAATCAACACAACTTACATAAACATAAGGGCTTGTCAAAGAACATGGTGTACAATTGACATATAAATACAGAAACATGCTGGCAACTAATTTTAACGAAATATTCAATTTCTAAAAACAACAAACCAAAAATTGGAGAAAAAGTTCAACACAATTCTATGATACATATTATGGGAGTGGTATTGTAACAAAATGAATTAAAGTTAAATGCTTTACGTATATAATCAACTACCCCAAGTATTCCGAAAGTTCAAAATTCCAGACATTTATAACTTTCGCCATCCACTTTTCCGGACTTTTTACCGCTAACCGCACGCTCAAAGTCACTATTGTCATGACTGGGGGACTTCGTCGGGACCCGGAGCCATCCAAGGGTCAAGGCAAAGACGAACTGAGAAGACGGAGCTGAAAAGTGGAATGTTTATTTACAGTATTTACATGATTAGCTAGTGTGACACTAAATGACAAAAAGAAAAGGCAGACTCGAGCATCTCTGTGCTCGCATTTTATATCCCTGCAAGAGAAAATAATTGAGTCCCAGACACTCCAATCGGATTGTTGTCTTCCACTCCGCCCACGAAGAGGCAAAGTCACAAACCCCTCCTGCTGAACCCAGAAAAAGGGGAAAGACATTCACAGTTCATCGCACAGGGAGCGGGTATTACACGCAATACTCTAGGTGACAGCACGGCAAAACTGGCACAGTGCGATGACCTGGAACCCCCATTTGCAGAGTCGACCCATCCGGTTGGCAAGGTTCAAGGTTGACTCATCAAGGAAGCATTTCTGCCAGGCAGGCCATGATGCGCAAGAAATGAAGACTCTAAAGGCCCTTGGATTGCGAAAAACGTCATCGAAGATGATTCTCCAGCTCTCGGCTCATTGTCAGGTGCATATGATGACTCCAGCAACGCAAAAGAGACCAGTCTTTCTAGGCAGCGCAGACAGCAAAACAGCGCCTTTCCAGGTAATCCATCGGTCGTGCAGGCCCAAAGGGCTTGAGGTGAGCCGACAGACCTAAAGAATTCGCTGTGCTGTCGCTGACTGTGAAAACCTCAGGAAGCTCTGCAAGGTCAAAATTTTTCCACGCGTCCAAGCAGTGCCAAGACACAGGTGCTGATCACAACTCTATCGACATCGCCATTTTGGTTGTTTTCGTATCCTCTAACCCACTGCGCCGTGGCATGGCTGTCGTACGCTCGAAAGCTCGAAACCCCAAATGCCACAATCTAGCGCATGCCAATCTGTTGCCAGCCATAGCTTAGTCAAATCTGTGGCCAGAGCTCATTCACAGCACATGGCACTGTGCCTATGCTCCGACAGTGGGAAAAGTTACGCTGTTGATCTATGGTCTGCCGTCGGTGCTCGCAGACTCAGGAAGGCGGATACACAACAGACCCTCTGGAACTGTTTTCGCCACGCGAACTTCATATTGGATCCCGAGACAGCTGTCTCGCCCAGTGTGGACAGTGTGTGCAACGAACTTCCACCCGAAGACGTTGCCTTCGACAATCTGAACACTGCCGGTGTTTCAATTCCAGCTAGGATCACCTTTGAGTGCTTCGCCGACGCTGATGACCTAGAGCTGTGTGCGAAATTAATCGATGACAAAATCATTCGTCAAGTTACGACGGATTCCGACGACTCGAACATCTAACCTAGATCAAAGAGGCAGCGCCTGCACAAACAACGAGCTCGGAGCTCACGTGAGCACTGACACTGTCATCAGTGTACAGAGACAGCATGACGTTAGATGAAATTAAGGCAGACAACATTGTGGGCAAGTGAAATTGTGGGTAGCTCCAGCCACATCGGATTTTTTTTTAAAATATAAACGACTCTTTTCAAAGCACCTAAATGAATCATTTGCTGAATTGCCATAAGAATCCTGTACTCCTCCCCAACCCTCTCCGTCAGCAAAAAATACCTACTAAATCATGTGTTTTTGCTTGCATTACTTTTTTCATACTGCCCGATTTTCAGGATGGTTTTCACAGTTCCTAGAGGCTCCAGGAAATCAGACAACTGTATCTCTAAAATCGGCCTTTCAGACCCCATCGCAAGGGAAAAGCAATGGATGCAACAGCAACAAATTATAATGTTGCACGAAGTGGGGCTGGCATCCAACTCTTTTCGATCCAATGTATCAGGACTTACAAAATGCTAGCGTAAAAGATATGGACATTCCTCGGAGAGCCATGATTTTCGCAGTCTCTTTGACGGCATGTAGAAGGGCATATGGGCCGTCTGCTGGTGCCTGCCAAGATAGCATGTGCACCAGCCATTGTGTCCTCTGTCCTTATAATTAAAGTTCACAGCAGTTCCTGCTTGAGCGACTCCCCCCCCACCCCCCGCCCTGCTTCACGTTAATATTGAGTGCACCTTCAAGTCGGGCCGGGCACTGCTTGACTAGCAATTTACGTCAAGCCTCACACTCAAGCTGATGTTATAGCATGCCACCTCTGTGTAATGAAGATGGATCAGCTCGTTTCGTGTCTGCTTCAGACCAGTTTGTCACACCCGCTCACGTGCTTTCTAGGCCGCAGGTAGAACATGCGACACATGGGATGTGGGATATTATAGACTTGGACTTTATATGAAACAAATACGGCAGTCTCAGTAAAAACACCTCTTAATTGACACTGCTGCTTAAAGTGAACAAGTGCTTCTGACAAGATTCGTGTCACATCTCTGTTCTAAAGCTCTGTTCATCTCTCAGTAAATAGAACTCCTGTTCAATGGATCATATTTTCTTGGTCCCTTCAGGTTCAATTTATTGGGAGTATATAGTAGTTGCTAGCGCAATAAAAATAGTACTTACTCCAGGAGTTCTCTTAAACAATGTTGGTGTCTCCACTTCCACAAAACCTACAGAGAAAAAGGATTTAGGGAAGTTAGACTGGTCTTCTAAATAACACATTCTTGATACTTCTCAAGTACAAATGAAAACTTCAGGCAAGGTACATTTCAGCTTGATAAAAGCCGATAAGCAGTTCATTTTTTGTTACCGTATATACTCGCGTAATGAGCGCTCTTTTTTCCACGAAAAATCCGAGCAAAGTTGGGGGTGTGTTTATTATGCGAGGCAAATTTTACAGAAACTTTTTCAAGATGAGCGAAAAATGAGGTAATGCAAAAAAAAAAAGTTAGGTCCTTCAGCTCTTCGCAATTGACATAAGCGTACACTGTTTGGAAACAGCTTCTTTCTTGCACTTCAGTCATCTTCAGTAGTTGAAGACGCTATCTTCTGCAAGCTGTCGCTGGTCTGCCCGCACACTCCATAAAGGCATTTCGTGACTATCTTTTCTTGCAATGTTAAAGCACAACAGTGCTTTCTGCTGTGATCTCGAATGGCACCCAGAAGCATGCGTGTGGTGATTCGGGGCTTTCAGACATGGACAATTGACACACAGACACGAAACATTCGACTGAATACAATCACAAACACTCTGATTGGCCAAACACTACAAATATCATAAAAATCCTGATCCTACACTCCTAGCCCACACGAGCAGGACAATCGGTGCGTCCTGAAATAATTGTTCGTCGGACGACACTCCCTGTACCAGGAGGTTGACGAAAGATGCACGAACTGGTAGAATCCCGAGTAGGACCAGTATGCACGATGACGTCGTGTATCGATGCACGAGCAGTTGGGAACTGCTAGTTTCCCAACATGCAGGCCGCGTTACGCCCGACGTGGCACCGAGGCCACGCCTTCAGCTTCGGGCGGCGACGGACCTGCTCGTACGTAGCACCATGACCACGACTTCCAGCGGTTGTGCCGGAACCACTTGGACGTGGCACAGAGACCACGATCTCCGCCCGTGGTGCGGACCCCCTTGATTGTGGCTAGGAGACCACGAGACCCATTGATTTCGCACAGCGACGACCAGTCGCTGTGCAAAAAGAATTAGATGACAACAATACGTCTATGTTGTGAATATTGCAGTCTGTGTGCCTAGTGTCAACACGTGTTTTATTACCAAAGCCATCTGTCTATGTGCACCTGGTTATGACGCATACGCAGTAATTGATTGATTGATTGATTTGTGGGGTTTAACGTCCCAAAACCACCATATGATTATGAAAGACGCCGTAGTGGAGGGCTCCGGAAATTTCGACCACCTAGGGTTCTTTAACGTGCGCCCAAATCTGAGCACACGAGCCTACAACATTTCCGCCTCCATCGGAAATGCAGCCGCCGCAGCCAGGAATCGAACCCGCGACCTGCGGGTCAGCAGCCGAGTACCTTAGCCACTAGACCACCGCGGCGGGGCGACGCATACGCAGTATGCAGGTGTGTTATATTGTAGATGTCACTGCCAACCGTGTTCACACGTTTGATGAGCCCATTAAACCTTTCGTGTCACTGTGTGCCAAACAAATGCTCCTTAGTGTTGTGACAGAAAGACTACAATGCTATTTTTATGTTTGCCCGGTGTTTACTTTTGTTATTATTGTGTTTCATTGTGTCGCGTCCACATTAACGTTATCCGTGGCACACCGTTTCCCCGTAGTTGGGGAAAATTTCGTAATAGGGTGTGATTGAAAGGCAAGAATGAAACTGAAGATGACGGAGTGAGGAGGTGTGGTAAGAATGAAAGTAGTAAAAGTGAAAATGAAAGAGAAACCGAAACTCAAAGTGCAAACCGAAAGTGGGATGACGAAGATGACAAGTGTGAGAGTAAAAGAAGAGGAGCGTGGTGCTCGTGAGCTGGCAGACGTCGACGCGCTGGGGAGCATGACATCTGGCAAGCGCCGTTCGATCGACCTCGAAGACTAGAAAGAACCGAGCTGGTGTACCAAGCCAGCCGGGACGAGCTTGGCATGTCCTGAGGACGAGCGAGTGTCCCGACCCAGCGTAGCAGTACTGCTCCTGCAGTGAGGCCGCCTGGATCAGTGCGCGCGGCGGTGTTTAAAGAATCGGCGGCCGTGGTCAAAAAATCGTTTTGTTGCGCCGGCAAGTTTGCGTGGCCTCACGAACTTCAATATTTTATGATTCGTTCTGCGCAAATTAACAGCCGTTATCGCCCTTCCGCACGCGCACGGAAGGCATGCCGAGCCGAGGGTGAAGTGAGCGAGAACAAGTCCAAAACACGAAACGAATCACAAATTATCAGAGTCGGTGGGGTAGCGTACGTGCATGCACTAGACGCAGACTATCGGATACAGTCGGTGGCCGACGATGTTGGCAAATGGTCTAGTCACTCCAGGCCGGCAACGCCAATGACAGTACCAGCGATCAAAAACAGGGTAGATGGCCGACCGGTCTTCGAAAGATCAGTGGCAGTGTGAAAACACGGACCTGGTCTGGCGATGCAGGGTGCTCAGAGTAGTGGGGAGACAAAGGACGGAGGGGTGGGTAACAAAAAGCGGTCGGGGCAATGGATTATGGTAACAGCTTTCTTTCCTCCATGGGTTGGGAAGAGCGGCAACTAGAGGGGCGAGGAGGCAGGGTCAACATTTAACAATAAGAATGTATGGACACCTCGCCGATGCCTGATCGTGATTGGTGGTCGAAAGTGGTTTCTCAGGAAGTTGGCAGAGCGCCGACTCCGTTCGCTGTAACCGATCAGCGGCGCTCAGAGGCGCTCATTGTAAGTGAGATTTTGTGCCATCGAACCAATGTATACTTTCACGGTCACACGGATATTGTTTGTTTTAAGCGAAAGTTAGCTTCAAGTGGGGCCGTTATATGTTGGCTCGACTGTATTACCGCGTGTTGAAGTTCCTTAATATGCAGGATGGCCACAGATATCGCATGAGCTCCTGCGCTGAAGATGTTTGTTTCAAAGTGCAAGATACCGGAGCTAAAAAAGAATGGGCCAACAGCTGCATAAGACACACAAGTGTGAGACTTTGAAGCATCGGTGAAAAATTCTGGGCAAGTGTACTTGTGCTAAGTTCGAGGAAGTGCGTGTGGATATGTGCAGTAGGTGCTGTATCGTGTGTGGTCGTTGGGCCATCCTGACAGTCCGAGCGTAACGGGAAGAATGGTAAGTTTATTGTGCCATGCTTTATATACAGGTGGAACGGGCGAGGGCAAGCCAAAGATATCTTGACTGATCGCCACGTGTTGTACATGCAGTAGCGATATCATCCGATACATCCTCTTTCGTATGAGTAAACAAAAACAGAACAGTTAAATATTTTTCTAACGGGGAGTTACAGGGTTGAATAGTGCACAGAAGAAACATCGTTCATTGCACGCCACTGGGAAGCTCACCACGACACTTGCACAAAGTTTCTGTCGTAGGTCAACCGCTGTGGTGGCCGCCGCAGTCTTGTCGAACTTCTCGAAGTTGCGATGCCTGCCGTATTGGGTGCATGGAGAGCTGCGGGCCCACTACTGCAATTTGCAGTTTGTTCGGCGAAGTCCTCACTGCTGCTGGAACACGTGCGCCTTCGAAAGCTTTCACCGGTCGGAAGTAGGTGCTGGCGGTTGCGGCGGAGGACCCTTCCTTCCTCTGTGACGACATGGTATGACCTGGGAGTATTGCATGGCTCGAGGACTCGTGCTTTGGTCGACCATGACCCCCTTTTAACTCGAACGGTGTCGCCTGCTCCCAGCGGCGCTAGGGTCCTCCTGCGGGCGTTGCTCTGGCGATGCTTTCGGACCGGAAATTCTGGAACGGAACGGACATCCGGCAGCGTCGTTCGCAGTCGCCTTCCTTGTAACACCTCGGCAGGTGAAGGCGCACCCTCCATCGGTGTCGTCCTGTAAGCGAGTAATCCAAGCCAAAAGTCTTGTTTCGCGTCAGTAGTTTTCTTTAGTATTCTCTTAACGACCTGTACTCCTTTTTCTGCGAGGCCATTTGATTGTGGATACCTCGGGCTTGAAGTGACGTGTTTGAAATCGTACAGCTGAGAAAATGCAGCGAAGTCATGACTTGTGAACTGCGGCCCATTATCGGTACAAAGTTCAACTGGTATGCCATATCTGGCGAAGATGGCACTTGCTGCTTCTATGACAGTTCTCGAAGATGTGTCTTTGAGCAACTCCACCTTGGGAAAGTTGGAGAGCGCGTCATAAACACACAAGTATGTTCTACCGCCATATTCGAAAAGGTCCGCCCCTACACGGTACCAAGGCTGGGGTGGCGCCGGGCGCATCTTAAGAGGCTCTGTCGGCTGTTTATATGCGTATTTTCTGCATGGTGCACATTTATGGCAGATCGATTCGATATCTTGATTTATTCCAGGCCAAAAAACAAGCTGTCTTGCCCTTGATTTACATTTGTTGACACCTAAGTGACCTTGGTGAATGCGATCTAGCATTTCACGTCTCATAGAAGCCGGTATTACCACCTTACAGCCTTTCAAAAGTACACCGTTAACTTGAGATAGTTCTGCTTGAAATGGCCTCCATTGGCCCTTGATATCCTCTCCAGATTCTAGGTTTTTCAGAACGTCTTTAAGCTCTTCGTCCTTCTCTGTTTCTGCTGACAACCACTTCCATGTTCGGTCGCTCACTAATGAAGACATCACACTTACCGCGTGGACTTCTACATCGTCGCTGTCGGTGTCACCCGCTTGCCTGCTTGTGGCTCTCGAGAGCATGTCGGCCAGGACGAGCTGCTTCCCTGGAATGAATTGCAAGTCAAGGTCATAACGCAGCAAACGGAGGAAGAAACGCTGTAGCCTTGGCGGCATATCGCCTATTGGTTTCCGAGCAATGGTAATCAAGGGCCGATGATCGGTCTCTGCAATGACATTGCGGCCGTAGATAAAGTGATGAAATCTTTCGCAGCCGTACAGCAATGCTAACGTCTCTTTTTCAATTTGTGAATACCGTTGCTCAGTTTCGCTGAGCGCTCGTGACGCGTACGCGACCGGCTTCCACGCGTTATTGTGGTATTGCAGCA